TTCGGGAACTGGCTACTGGCACATATATCTTTTCAATGCAGCCATATTTAATCAGGTTCTGATATTTGAACTGAATTTTGGAATTACCAATGTGTTTTTTTTGCACACTGTATGACTTTCTGTTGAAGACTGCTGTTTTGTGGAATTGAACTTGGCAAGAAACTTGGTCATGTGAACGTATTGTGCCCATCCCAAGCTGAATTACCAAGAGCCACTCATTGAAAACCAGTGGATCTAAATCCTTAACGGCCACATTTTTGTTTTTGGTCTCCATATGACTGTAGGTCTTCATACACCTCAGAATACTCAATGGAACTTTCTTTGAAAGGTGAACTGAATTCTTTACTAGTGAAATCAACTGAGATTTGATGTTCCACTTCTCGAGAATCGTTTTGCTTAAAATACCTACGATTTAAAGAGCAAGTTGTGGTCAGCTTCCAATTCAACCAATAGAGTATTGTTAGTATATACCTGTTTGGTTGTTTGTAGAAATTTTACCAAGTATTCCGTGCAACGTCTCATGAGCCCAGGAAGCTGTTGAAGCTGGGGTGCCAAATCGGGCAATGTGTAGTGGGTAATGTTGTGAGATATTTAAATTGGGTTTACAGTTAGGTTGGCCTTTCCAGCTATTTGAAAGAACTGTTTGGTAATTGATCATTGTGTTTGAAAGCCATTCAAGATTGGCCGGGTTGACAGTTTGACATGTGAGGAAGTTGGTGAATGATATAAGCTCAACTGTACTGGTGAGAAGTGCCTGGCAATCAGGATTTTTGGGTCTCACTTCCCAAACTGGGATTAGAGTAAGTGCAAAATAAACAGAATAAAGGACCAGCCACTTGGCTGCCTTCAGTGAGTTATTCCCAGGGGTTCCAACAACATTCTTCACTCGTGTCAGCCAAGATGGAACACGAGCAACAGAAATGCATCTGTGAACGGCTTCAAGCTCGCTGGGTAAGATCTTAGGGTCAGATTTGCTGAGTACCTTTGCTTTCTCTTTTTGCTCTTTTTTTGTCTCTTTCCCGAGTGCTTTAACAGTCTCTGTACTGCAAATTGACATGGTATTGCTTTTTTCAGAGTGAAAGCTTTCTTCAGATTGATGTGAGCTAAGAATACTTGAGCCATGGGTAGAGTTTGATGTATGTGAGCTAGGGAGTATCAGAACGCTCGCTAGAAATTTGGTAGATCTGAGCTTTTGTGTTTCAGGGCAGGGTTTTGGGGCATTACTAGAGGTTGTTGGACTTTGGTTCAAGATGAGGGAGTGTATTAAGATTATTCTTATTTGACTGAGATGAAATCAATGCTGGATCATAGATTGTAGGGGTCTTTTGGTATATTTTGATCAGAAATAGCTGTATGTTGTGCAAAATAATGTAAGAACATGTTAGTTATCACCGGTGCAA